GTTCGGTTTTGTAGATTGAACTTCGTCATGTAGACTCAGAGGAAAATTCTGAAGTAGAAGGATTATTGGTTCATTTAGTGAGCATTGCAGGAAGGAGTACGAACCTTCACCGCAAATATCTGCTTCGTTGATCAATGAACTTTCTTCACTGCTAAGTAAGGACTGGTCATTACTTGCTGATGTCTTGGATGTTGAAAAAGGACATTGTAAAAGTTCTGAAGTATGGTTTTGATGAATGATTTTTTTAGTCTGGGGCCTACTTTGTCGATTTTTTAATTTTTAGTTGTGGTTTTTTATTGGTCGAGTAATAATTTTTGAAGTTGCGACAGCGCAAGACTTCATTTTCATTTTTGTTCCGATGCTAAATTTCTCTCTGAAATATCAGTAAAAGAATTTTTTTAGCCAGAAGAAGCTGTTAAGACAATATTAAGTTCGTGGAAGAAAGCAGATGAAGCAGCTGCTACAGTTAAAAAACTGGGAAGTGCTTTATTGAATGCAGGGATATTTAACGAACAAATAGGAGGTCTTCTTAAAAAAGTTAGTGCATGTTCAAAAAGGTCACTTGAGTAGCAAAGTTTAAGTTTTGTTTTTCAGTAATTCGTTCGCTGCTGAAGTTAAGCTTCAAGAGATTATTTCCGTCTTGTAGTAACTGACATTTTCTCGTTTTTTCATCAGCTGGTTAATGGATTTCTTTTGCTTTAGGCATTAACCAAGGAAATGCTTTCCTAGCGTCAGTTGCAAATTACGTTGCTTTCCTTACTGTAGATCTCATCGTGAACAATACTGTTTTGTGGAATTACTTTATTTTTTAAGAATATCGGTGATGCATCTGGAACTCGTTGTTTTATTGAATTTTTTTTTGAAGTTATCGGAATCACGTTAGAGTGTTGTTACGTTCATTGGCATTTATTCGAAAATATTTGGTCTTTCCGTGTGTCACTACCAATTTTAACAGATTATTTTCGTAATTTCATAATTCATTGTCAGAAAAAATGGAGCGTTTCAGTCAGTTTTCATAATTTGCTGTATTGATCTTTGTGATATTTCTGTTACATCTGTATCTTTAAAGTCTTGTTTTTAATGCTAATATACTTTTCAAATGTGCGTTTTTTTTGTTTCTTGCCTTAATTTAGTGTCCCGCCGCAAGAGTGATTCCATTTTTTGTTTCGTCACTGGATGTTATTTTTGGCAAGGTATGTAATCGTGTTTGAATATGATGTTGATGATTGTTTTTTGGTTTAGAGATCTCTATGGATTTTGTCGCAGGTATAAGTTTTTCATCAGTCATATTGTAGTATATCGAGTTATGTGAATACAAGAAGAAGTGTAGGGAAAAGTGTGTAGCGGTGAGTATAAATCATTAATTGATCCCTATACCTCATACAGTGGGCTTGTTGGGAATACGTCGGTGACTTAGGTGAGGTGTTTAGAGAAGTCGTTTTAATCCTAGAATTATTGACGTTGCGGTAGTGGTGTTTAAGGTTTACAACATAGAAATATTTGGTGCCAATGCGTGGGCTGTTGGTTTTCATTATAATATGGATTGTAGGTGAATGCAGTTTTTCAAGCGTAGAGTGGTCCAAGTTGTTTTTGACTTGTTTTATTGTTTAAAATGATATTGACAGTGGTCTCAGAATGCTTGTACAATAGCTTTTTCCGATGTAAAAAGAAATTTTTCATTATCTTGTTCGTATGGTAACAGAGTAACAATTCCGCAGTCATTTTTTACTGGGAACAGTTGTCGGAATATTTTAGAAAGTTGCAGCTCCTTTCCCTTTGCTTATATCTTTATTACTTTAGTATTTCAGCAAGGATATAGGCAACAGCTTTGAAGAGGTCTGAGTCGGTTTCAGTATTCCTTTAAGTTTGAAACAGCTTTTGACTAATTGTCAAGTTCTAGTTTTTTGTGATTTGATTACTTAATCGCTCGATTCTGGTTGGTTAGCAACTAATCGTTTTCCATCAGGTGCGCGGTGCCCCTTAAAAGCAGTCAGTAAAATGCTGACAGGTTAAACTCTGGTTGCCGATGTTTGTTCAAGAAGACTGGAACGTTGTTGTAGCTTGCTGGAAATGATTCGCAATGGACAACCTTTAGTCAGACATCGTCTCCGTATTGCGTAAGAAAATATCGGTTTTGTAAACCTTCTGTGTTAACGATAAAAGGATTTGCTGCTTTAGGTTGGTATCCGACTTCTTCTGCCCAAATGCTGGAGGTGTTGAGACACACATATATTTCTTAGCCAAATGCCTCTTAGAACTTGGGCATAAGGTTATTGTCATTACACACGCTTACGGAGAAAGGAAAGGTATCAGGTATTTGTCCAATAACTTGAAGGTATGTTTCTACAAATTACTGTACACTATGAAGAAATATGATGTCTCTAATGACCAGAAATGATTTTGTGCATCATAATCTAAAAAATTTGTTTGCAGGTTTACTACTTGCCTTTCATTGTATTTTATAATGGATGCAGTTTAGCATCTATAATAGGTTCATTATACTGGTTTAGGAAAATATTTCTCAGAGAGCGCATTCAACTTGTTCATGGGCATTCGGTTCGTTAGTTATTACAAAAAATTTCTTTGCAGTGTGTAGCTGTTCAACCGTTTTAGCACGGTTCCATTTTAAGCTACTCTTTAGACGTTTTCCTCAATGGCACATGAAGCCTTATTCCATGCTTGGACTATGGGGTTACGCACGGTCTTTACTGACCACTCATTATTTGGTTTTGCCGATGCTTCTGCCATTCTTACAAATAAACTTGTCCTTCAGTACTCGCTAGCAAATGTCGACCAAATAATATGCGTTTCTTTTACAAGGTACTAATTTAGGGAAGAAATTTGCTGCATTACCAGTTAAACCAAATTCCGATAAAATAAAATGATTTCTTTTCTCTAAAAACTTATTAAAGTTATTTAGCAAAGAAAATACGGTTCTAAGAAGCGGGATTCCTGCCAACAAGGTTTCAGTGATTCCAAATGCGATTCACACTGAAACCTTTGTCCCTGATCCATTTTTATTTTACAACAACCCAACCACTGTTGTAGTAATTTCGAGGCTTGTTTACCGAAAGGTAGTTACTAATATTTTTGAAAAATTTTAAAAGTTCTCTTTATCATTGTTTTTTAAAGTCAGTTGCAACTGCTCTTCACCGCTGGTAACTGTCTTTATAATGATTTCAGGGGGCAGACCTTTTAGCAAAAATAATTCCTCAAGTGTGTGCGGCTCACCCAACTGTACGTTTCATTGTTGGAGGTGAAGGGCCTAAAAGAGTTGATGTAGAGGAAATGCGTGAGAAGTTTTGCTTACAAGATCGTGTCATCATGCTCGGCAGTTTGCCCCATAATCAGGTAATTCACACACCTAGTTGGTAGTGATGTAGCAGAACAACTAAAAGGTTACTAAGAGTAGTTCATTTAGGTGCGTGATGTGCTGGTTCATGGTCAGATATTTCTAAACACTTCACTTACTGAAGCGTTCTGCATGAGCATTGTCGAAGCAGCATCTTGCGGGTCAGTGTCAAGTGGTTCACACATATTTTTTTGCATCTGGCCTACTCATTTTGTTCTTTATCAAAGATGCTTCAAAACTTGAAGAAATTTTAGACTCCATGTTGTTTCAACACGAGTAGGTGGCATACCGGAAGTTTTGCCAGATGACTTCATTTCTACAGCACCACCGCTCCCGCAAGGTGAAAAACGCCTAACGTTTATATAAGAGTAATAACTTCAAATGAATTATTGAATCAATTGGCTATTACTTCAGATCTGAGCAGGAAACTGTTGGAAGTCATTAGAAGACGTGAGTGTGGCTTGTTAATGGGACCTGAAGAAAGGCACCGCAGGGTTCAGAAAATGTATCACTGGTCCGATGTGGCAGAGCGAACTCAAGAAGTTTACTTCAAGGCCATGAACTCACCAGCGTCCTGTTGGTGTGGTCGATTAAGTCGGTAAGTCTTACCTCAAATCCTTTATCACAGCTGTGGAGAGCGACCTTTGGCTTAGTCTTTCCGATTAGCCCTGAAAAGGAAACTAATTATGGTGCTTCCCCATAATCATTTCAGTGAACTTTTCAAGAAAAATTTCTGCAAATACTGTACTTCTTTGTGATTTGAAGTGTTATAATTTTTTCAAGTGTTACAGATTTTTAACTTTACTAGGTTTTATGAGAGCGGAATAGGTTTTGGAATTCTTTATATTTGGGCAGCTGTAATTAACATGATTTGGCTTCTAGCGTTGCAGTTTTTCGACCCACCGCAGGTATAAACTTCATAAGTTTTCATTTTAAATATTATTTTACTTGCTAAAAAAAAATTTGCTAGTTTTTTGTTCCCCTTCACCTAGTTTGCTGTCATTTAAATGCAATAAATTTCCTTGTGTATAAAATAAACAATTATGAAGTGTTTACAGAATATCAAGAAGTGTAATGACTTACATAAAAGTGAGGAGAAGTCAAAACACATCTAGCTGGTTCCCTTCGGAGAAGATCTCGTTTGGTAACAGAAGTCCCACCAGTCGTCCATATATAGACAGCCAACTTAAATACATTCAAATTTTACATGATTCTTCTTTCATTTAACCAAAGTTTTTCCAACATATAAATTCTGATTGAGGGTCCAACTTTTTACAATAAAATTTCTTTTCGGTCCCAAAACCTCCTCACAGAAAGAAGTCTTCAGGGTTTTATAGTGTACATGATGCGAACAATTTGAAAATAGGAGTAATAAAACAGCAAAATAAAAGAATCAAGCCAAATCAACGAAAAGAAAGAGTGAGAATTAGTTTATAACCTTAAAATATAATTGGCAGTGTGTATTTCGCTCATAATATCCTGAGTCCTACAGGGGTGTATGTGGTAGAATGCAACACCAAGATAAGGGTGTTCACCTTGAGAGATTGAAATTAAACGGTCATTTTGAACTGCTTGACGATATTCGGAAGACACCAATTCTATTATTTCATCCATTTTAAGCAAGCTTCCGTCTAAATATTGCAACATAAAATACCAGCTAAGAAACTTCTGAACTTTGCTTAACCAAAATAATCATAAGTTCGTCTGTAAAATCTGCTAACAACAGGAACCTTTCCAATAGAAGTTGAACCACAATGTAGGAACTTCGTAAGTAATGCTATATATGATGTGGTATTGTCGTACTACAACTTTCCCTTCCCATTCGATTGAAGAATTGCTAACACAAAACAATCCACGTTCGTGCTAAATTCAAGAGTTGTGTTACTATTTTGCTTGTAAAATTTATGTTTCAAAACGGTAACATTTTTCACCGTTTCAATGCTTTCAGTGAGAAGGATAATAGATTAAACTGTTCGATTTCTAGCCGCTGGCATGGTAAGAATTTTTTAGCTATAGTAAGAAACTAGAGGCTTGCAACTGTGTTCAACTTTTGTGTATCAGGTCTATTAAATCAACTTTGAGAATTCAAAATTAATTGTGATGAATAGAACTTATATGTATGGTTCGACAAACGACAACATTTCCTTCTGTAAAACTCAACAACAGCTTGCTAGTTTTATGAAATTAGCTGCAATGTAACAATTTCAATATCAGTAGAAGTAAATCAACTTGATATTTTTTTGCATTACAGTAAACGTAGTTGGATGTAATCAGCAAAAAATAAAATTTTTTTAATAATTATTATAAAAAAAAGAAAAAAAATTGTAAAAGATTTTTGGAGAATCGAATAGATTCGATGTACCTGAACTAACTTCCATTGTGGTGCCTTACCAAGATTGTTGTCGCAGAGTTCTTTCAACGCACGAATATCGTTTTCAAATTTTTCACGACTTAACATTCGTTGGCGATTGTAACCGATTTTTAGCTGCAAAAATAGGTACCCGTGTGTAACCTAAAGATATAATCAGAAGCAGAGATTCGGCCAAACTGTTGGTTAGAATAAAATGAAAAATAGGCAGAAGGCAAAAGGCAAAAAAAAGAGAATACTGTAGCAATAACAGTTGTGGTACTGTTCGGACTTCAAACCTTACATATCAATCCGAAACCATTTACGCTGCCCAAAAAATTATATAATAAATAACTGCCGACTGCTTCGCGTTGTGCAGCTGAATTGTCAAAGTTTGGCAATCATTCAGTGCACAAAAGAATTGGATGGATCTTTACTCGTAAATTAAACATTATCAGGCAGTTTGAAAGTGAAAGGAGTTTCCTCTTTTTTAGCTTTTTATAATTATTAGTCTTTTTCGCTTCAACTTTATTTTTTTGTCTTTTGAACCTCATTTTACTTGCATTGATTTTATAGCATTTTATTATTACTGATGTTACCGCAATCAATCTTATGCTGTTTTTCTGTGCGTATGTCTCTGATTGTATTGTGAACTATAACTGAGATCAAACAAATCTGGAAGAGTACATTTTTTACCTCATCTGTTCTTGTTTCGGTGCCTGTATCTGATTTACCATTTACCAAAGGAAAAAGGTTTTTTTATCTGTATTTTATAATTCACATTGTTTTGGAATAAATTGTCGGAATAAAAAAAAAATTGTATTTTTTTAAAAAGGAGTCTAAAAAATAATACATATTTTGGCAAAAAGTCTCAGTAGTTTATTCATTCTTCTTGCTTCACGGTGACTAACATTTCTTGACGATATTATGATATCTAACTGGGTACAGACAACAGACTGAATTGAATCAGAAGCTTTGAAGCTCTGTTACTTTTTAGCTATGAGCCTTTTACCGAAAATTTTTCTTGGCAGTATTTTATTTTATTCTTTATTTTTGTTAGAGGGCATTTCTGATTTAAAATAAGAGAGTGTTTTGGTTGCTTAAAATTAGCTTTTGAAGAGAGGCATCTCTGATGCAATGTAGTGTTTTCAAAAGTAATCGGTGACTGGAAGAAACTTTTGGATCTTTTGAGTTTGGCCATACAAAGAACACTTTTACATTTATCGATAAAATGAGTTGTACTGCTGACATTATTTGCCGTGTCTGATGAGTTTTTCAGAATTGGTTTGATTTGGTCTGTGTCATTTATTCCTGTGAAAAAAAAAATATTCTGATCAAAAGATAAAAATTTGAACTTGAACAACACTGAATGATTTATACATGAAAGTCTGCTTCAGGACGAGAATTTTTTTGGTTCTCAACAAAGGATTCACTTTTTAGTCACAAGACAACAAGAGATTATTGACTGTAATGCCGATTAGTTCGCTAAATACTTTTAAGATTGTTGTGGAAGGAACAAGAAAACTGACAATTCTAGCACAATGAAGTCTAAACAGTATTGAGAAAAGCCTTTCAGTAGTTCATATGAGAGGCGCACCAGTGAACACAGTACCTGAAAAAGGTATTTGGTGCACATTTAATTTTCGCCTAAAGTTTTACACAGAAGTTTTTTGACTTCCTGTCTTATGGTTGTCTGCCTGAAATTAAAGGAAAAAGTAGCGAGATTTAGTTCTGGGTCTGATTTAATAGACCACTCTTTTACCATAGGTTATTTTCGTGGCGTGAAACCTGTGATACGTTGCAAAATTGTGTTTGAATGAGTATAAATGCTTAAGATAGGGTTGCAGTAGTTAAACTTTACGTTTTTCATTCGCTTTCCTTGTCCTTTTAACTGCATAAACTAATACTCCTCTAGTTATGTTAAGCATTTATCGCTTCTGAAAACTGACCTCGTAAACCTTTACTTGAACTTTAAATAGTGACTGTATTACACTGAGTTTAGTTAGAGGGTTTAAAACCGTTAGACAGTTGAGCAACAAGTTTTTTAGGTAACTGCGAGTAGGATGTTAGCCAGAAAAGATGAAGGAAAAGTGTAGAATTGTATGTAAAAAAAACTTTTTTGGAACCAGAGAACTCACCGGAATTTCACTGATTTTGAAAAAAAATTTTTCTGTATTGACTAAGATTGATTGGACGAGCATTCTAATTTGACATCATTGAAGATTTAACATTCTTTTGTTTTGGACGTCAAAAAAACTTCAACAGTCAAGAAACCAGGAAACAGAAAATGCTGTGGTAGATCTGAACTGCTGTTGTCGAACATTAAACTTTTGCACTTTTTTTTTCCTGACGGAAACACACTGATGAAAATCAGACGTTCGACAGAACAGAAAGCTTCCATAACCTTCTTCAATTAACATTTTATATTAAAAATTTTTATGTTATTTCTGTAAAAAAGAAAGAATTTTCTTAAAGTAGCTGTTAAAATTTTCTTAAAGTATCACTTTCTTTGAAAACATAATATTATCCTAGTTAACTGTGATACATTCAGTGAATTAAGAAGGATTAAGTAGCAGCAGTCTGCAGGGATTCAACTGTTGTGGTTGTATTAATAGATGTTTGGACGACAAAAGTTAGTTGAAAATTCTGTAACAAAAAAATTTATTCGAAAAAAATGTTCTGAAGTGTCAATGATTTTGTTGTTGTTTGAGAACACTGATGACGAGGCTTTTGTTGGAAGTGTTTTAAATGTATTTTTTTTTGAATATTTTTTTTTTTTTACTGAAACAGATGTTGTCAATAAAATATTTTCAGTTGATAAATGTATTTGTTAATATTTTATCTTTAAAATCAAACTTGGCAAACTGTAAGCTTTTTTTTCTTCTGCAACTTTAAATTTTAAACTTAAAAACTTATTACTGATTATTACCTGTGTTGATGATACTGACAGTTTAAGACTTTAGCTGTCAAGACATCCTTTCTAACAGTTTAAAAGCTGCTAAAATTTGAGCTCTAATTCATCTTTATTCTTCATATTACATATTTACAGTAGGATTGGTGATGTTTTTTTGCTTACCTCAGTCTAGGACCTACACCTTATAGTTGTGCTGTTTACAGTTGATGCGTCATCTGAAATTTAGTGTTCAACGATGGCGATATTTATTACTATAAAAGCTCCAAATTTTATTTGTTAACTAAATGACCAAAAACTGCCTCTTAACAGTAACGAATCAGTCGTTGTTTGCGGTATCTTTTACTTGATTAAACTGTGTTTTCCAAATTTTTTTTCTGAAAAGCTTAAGCAATTGTTAAATAGCTGAGTATTTGGTGCCTTTATCACTAAGTATCAACTGGAAGGCTGACGACTTGTTTAACAGCTGCAACACATACTTTTTCTCTCTTGTCCCATTAGAAACTCTACAGATTCAGGTGGCTATTAGTATTTTGATAATAAAAGCAAATTAGATTTTTACAGTTCTTTTTAGCTTTTTTAATAGTTGGTCGTTTATATTACTTTATTGCCTAATATTTGCTCTTTTCTATGATTATAACCCACCAAATTAAGCTTTATATCCAGTAAGAAGAAGAAGGAGAAAAAGCTGTCAAAAACGAAAAATTGATTAGATGCAAAAATAATATATACATATACATATATATATATATATATATTGAAAAAATATACCTTTTAAAATTTTTTAAAGCTGTTAAAGAGGAGACAAGAAGAAACTATTGTTTTTAGATATTAAACCTTTTTTTTTTCATTTTTTTTTCTTTTTTTGTAATGCATAAAGTCATTTAGATGGATTAAAAAATTGAGATTT